ACAAGCCAAGATTTTAGTTAATTGTTGCGGCCCATATAGATTTTATGGGGAACCAGTTATTAAAGCATGCATTGCTACTCATACTCATCAAATTGATGTCAGTGGTGAACCTCAGGTCTGATAACAACTTTGTCTATTAAATATTGCTAATTGGTACCATTAAAAAATTGTTAATAACAGTTGGTGATTTTCATATTTTTAACTTTTTTGTTTGTACTACAGTACATAGAAGGCATACAGTTGAAATATGATAAAGAAGCCAGAGAAGCTGGTATCTACATTGTAAATGCTTGTGGGTTTGACTCTATCCCGTGCGATCTTGGAGTAATTTTTGCTCAAGGAAAGTTTGATGGTGAAGTCAATACTATTGAAGCATATATGACTTCGTGGGTAGCCACGGAAGTTGATTCTGCCGTAATACATTACGGTACTTATGAATCAGCTATTTACGGTGTTACCAGTTATAACGAGCTACGTCGACTGCGCACAAAATTATATCCTGAAAAATTGCCCCCATTTCAGCCACAATTGGTGAGAAGGTTGGAACACATTAAGTGCATCATTAGTAGACTGTAGATTTTCATACATTTAAAATATGCGGAAAACATAATTATGTAATCTTTACTTCTTAAAATTTGTAATATTCATTTTAGAAACTTGATTCATAAGACTGAATTAGGCTGGGCTACAGTATTTCCAGGACCAGATCAATCAGTGGTAGAGCGTACTCAAAGATTTTTTTATGATAAATATAAACAAAGACCAGTACAAATTCAGACATATATTACGTACAAGTAACTATTTTATTTCTATTTAATTTCAAATGCGACTTTAGTATGAACTAATATTAATGTTTCAATAATAGATCTTTGTTCACTGCGTTGGTAACGGTTATATTTGCTGGCGTCTTTGCTGTACTTTCACGATTTCAATGTGGCCGTAGTATATTACAGAAGGTATAATATGCTAGTTTTTGTATTTCTTGTAATATTTGATTATGTACAAACGACTTATAATATTAACATTGTTTTGTACTTTATTTAGTATCCAGCATTTTTCACTTATGGATATGTAAGTCACGAAGGCCCATCACGAAAAGTACAGGAAAATACCCACTTTAAATTTACATTTATAGCAAAAGGTTGGACCGAGAAATTGTCCATATCTACTGATAATCATAAGGATCCACCAAATAAGGTGTTGACCACTCAAGTTAGTGGCGTTGACCCGGCATATGATGGCACATGTACTATGTTAATACTTGCTGCGATGATGATTCTCAAAGAATCTGATAAAATACCAGAAAAGTGTGTTTTATTTCTACTTTGATTATGTATTACGTTTCGCTGTGGATCAATAAATATTAACAATTGCATTTTATTATTCCAGCGCCGGCGTTTTAACTCCTGGTATTGC